AGAGAGAGAGAGAGACAAAGAAGGGGAAAAGAAAGTTAAATAAACGATAGAGAAAAAAGAAAAGGGTACCCTATCGCTAAAAATTTTCGTGGCGTAAAGCTAGTCGAGAGAATGAGTCACGCTCAACAGCATGTGCTTGCGAGCGCGATAGTCCTCGCATTGTTCGTGGTATTCGGCATCCACGTCTTCCTGTTTCCCATGTACACATCGACCCCGCCGGCGCGCCACATGAAAATCTCCGCTTACGAGCAGGCACTCTGTCGCACAAGCTTGAAGAATAATGTCCGTATACCGGTGTCGGAATTGCGCTACAATCCCTGTCCCAAGTACGGCATAGTCTCGGCAGTACAGGGCGGTAGGCTTGGCAACCAGATCTGGGAATACGCGTCTGTGTGGGCGACCGCTCGGAGAACCGGCTTGGAGCCGTTCATGCCGCGCTGCATCCTCAAGACCCTGGAGGAGTACTTTGAGAATCTCAGTATCCCGCCGCTCAGCTATATCGGCAGATGTACTCTTGATGTCGGCCAGATAGTCAATTCACTTGGTCAGTGGAATAGCACGGAGCAGAACATTATTATACCCAGGTTAGATCATCATCATTGGAGATTTTGCGACAGAAATAAATGCAACTAGAAAATAAAATGCGATAAATAAAATAGGTTTTACAAAATAGGTTCTCTTATTTTTTTATAATCTTTTAACATAGATATTTAAATGAAACGGAAATATCGAATTTCTTCTCAGACATGCGGCTTATTGGTCTTTGATATTGGTTTGGCCTGACGATGTACGGCGGGAGTTTACGTTTAAACCGAGTCTAAGAATCTACGCGGAAAAGGTGTTGAAACGTGTGGCGGAAAAATTCAATCTGTCCTCGCCGACTTATGTCAGCGTACATGTGCGCAGAACCGATTACGTGGATTATCTTTGGCAAAAGTTGAAGACACGACCGGCGCCGGTAAGTTACTACCTGTCGGCGATGAATTACTTCGCCGGCAAGTACAGCAATGTGATCTTCGTAGTAACGAGTGATAATATCGCCTGGTGCAAGTATAACTTGTGCAATAAGCGTCATCGAATCAGCTTCGTATCGGAAAACGACGGTAAAGGCCCGGGAAAAGATCTGGCGGTTTTGTCTGCGTGCAATCATAGTATAATAGATTATGGTACTTACGGTTCTTTCGGAGCTATTTTGGCCGCTGGCGAGACCGTAGTTTACAATGTAACAACATACTTTTCTACATTAATTGCTGACGTTCTACCAAACTGGAAAATAATGAGTTGAACGAGATCAAATCAAATGTCTCGAACATAAAGCTAAGAGAACGCATTTATGTTACATCGGTGTTACACGCGTGTTTTTCTTTTCTTTTTCTTTTCTTCCTCTCTCTCTCTC